ATGCAAAGTTACCGGTAAATTTTACATTCGCAACACTTATCAACATTTCACAATATTACTGCTAATTGTCTCCTTTTTCTTACTACCTGCTAAGTTTCATCGAAAAGATAGCTTACTCAGGCACCTTAATATTATACTCCAATTAGTTAAAAAGTTGTTGTTGTTTGGATATTAAGTATATATCGAAGGAATGTTGGTTCATTTTACTAATATATTCTCTCAACTTTAAAAATCATTTTTTTTACTACCTGCCAAATTTCATTGAAAAAAACGCATACTTAGGCACCTTAATATTATACTCCAATTAGGTAAAAATTTGTTGTTGTTTGAACATCAAGTATATATCGAAGGAACGCTGGTTCATTTAACTGCTAATTTTGAATTGTCACAAATAGGCATTGACTTTAATACAGGGCGTAATACAGTTTGTAGAAATGTACATATTTTTTTATTATTTACAAAAAATAAAAATTCGTTTCTCAAAACATTTCAACAAGTCACTAAACATTTTAAGATAGAAACATGTAAAAACCAGGTTAGGAGTCTCATAAATAAATCATTGAACTGGGCTAGAAATTTTAATAGGGCTGAGGACAGTAAGCGTTTTTTTGACTTTTGGAATAAACCATTTTTAAGCCATATATCAAGTTTGCCTAACATTGTATTATCATCAGGTTCCTCAGAAGTTTCATATACCAATATGAATGTTTGATCTCTTTTTACTAGTGGACCGTCAACATTGCAAGTTATAGCAAACAAGACGTTACTAAACATATATTTAGAAAAAAATTAAGCCCTATAAAACAAAAACTAAAAGGTAGGTTATCTTACATGTCTTCTTGGTTAGCTAACTCTTACAAAAAACGCCGGAGCAAGATAGCACTATTAAAAGCTGAATTAAACAGCATGCCAAATCAATTATGTGTTTTAAGACAAAATGTTAGATAAAAAGAAAAAATAATTAAAGCTTTAAGGGCAGAAATACGAAACCTGAAAAACTCACATAACAAAAAAAATTATGGTGAGCAGATTCGTCACTTTTAAGCTGAAAACAAATTTGAAATTATATGAAAAGCATAAGTTAAGGTAACTCAAAATTAAGCATAATGCCGCTGTTTTGACAAGTAACAGGGCAATTGCTAGTTTGGAAAATGATTTTCACTATTCCAGATTGAGGAGGAAAGAAAGCTAATTATGCCAGAAGATGAAAAAACATATTCATTACAAATAAGAATAATAATTTTTTATATGTTTTGTAATGTACCAACAGGTAACATTCTATATCTTATGAGCAAAATAGAACATTTTATAGGTATTATTTTTAATAATATTCCTCATCGAAGTACTGTTGAGAAAAGGGTTGTGAACTTGGCAGTATTTTAGGTTTCCAAGCAGCAGAGTGGGCTATGCATAATAATAATTCTACACATGGGTTTGATGACACAACACAATAAGGTGTCCACATTAATAGCATCAACTTAACATCTAAAGATAAATGTCTTGTTATTAGTCTAGATCAGTTACCAGGAGGAACAGCATTTGATTATGAAAATCATGTATGCACTTCAATTGATTATATAGCATTTATTTATTCTTTCTTTGTTTGTTTAAAAAAAAAATTTAAATAGGTTAACACTATTTTTTATAATTTTTATTAAACTTATTTCATATTAAAATTTTTAAAAATTAAATTTACCAGTTTCATCCACGTCATCACTGCCATCTGGCGCTCATACGGAAAATCAAGACCTTATCTGTAAGTTTATTACTGTGTTAATTTTTGTTTTTTATTTAATTTTTAGAACACTAATTTATTTTTATTTTTAAATAAAGGCTTGTCTGGGAGTGATTTCTTGGTTTGGCGCCGAAGCCACCCTTGGCCTAAATCAAAAAGGGACTTCTGCATATGGACCCAGAATGGAGGTAAAGACCTGCCTCATTTTAAATACTAAACTTCTGGTGGCAGAAGGGATAGCAGAGGATTCAGGAATGTAGTTATTAACAACTATACATATACTTGTCAATAAGTTTATATAGATTCACTTAGCTGAATCTATATACACTTATTGATAGGTGTATAATGTGTAAATTAAGTTAATATATAGTTGTATAACCTTTTTTATGTTGTATGAACAATTTGTGTTTTATTTATATTATATATACTATTTATTATTACAAAAAAATAATAATAAACCCACCTTACCCAAGGTGTGAGGGGTGTAGAGCTTCCAAATAATACCCTCTTGCACCCTTTTCAAGCTTTTATATAAAAAATCTTTTTTTCTTTTGATGCTAAATTGCATTAATTTAGATATGAAGATAGTAAGTAATAATCTTGATATTGGGTCAGAGGGTGGGCCCGAAGCCAAAAGAACTTCTAGCCTATTAACCTAAAGTATCCAAATCATATTTGATAGTACTCTTTTAGAAATTTAAAATATTATTATTAAATTAAAATTATTCAATAATAAAGTAATGAATCAATTCAATAATGAATAAATTCAATAATAACATTTTCTTTTATAAAATCGACATTTTTTAATATAATAAAGGGTTTTGTAGACGCCCCTCTAGCGCCCTTTGTACCCCAATTGTATATACATATTGTCCTTTGTTATACCTATCTTTTGATACCAAGATGTTTGTATTTCGATAAGAATTCTATAAAAAATCCACTCTATAAAAAACATAGAATACCACATTTGTTACCTGAACTATATATTGACAATGTAATGATAAAAAGAGAAAAAGTAACAAAGTTTCTAGGAATCTATATTGATGAAAATTTAACTTGGAAACATCACGTTAACATTATCTCTTCTAGAGTTTCCAAATGCATCGGTATTCTTTATAAAGCTAGAAACATACTAAATAAACGGCAGCTGACTCAATTGTACTATTCATTTGTTCCCTGTCATCTAAACTATGCAAATATTATATGGGGAAGCACTCAAAAGACAATACTTAAAACTTTTTAATCATCAGAAACACGCAGCTCGCGCAATTAATTTTAAAAATCGTCTTACTCACTCTGCGCCGCTTCTTAAAGATATGAAAGCTTTGAATGTTTATCAACTTAATATTTTTAATATTATATGCTTTATGTTCAAGTGTAAAGAAAATTTATTTCCACAGGTATTTCAATATCTTTATTCTTTAAAACCGAAAAACAAATATAATTTACGAATTGACAACAATCTTAATGCTCCTTTTTGCAAAACCAAATACGACGAATTTTGTATGTCCAATCGTGGACCTCTTTTTTGGAACAAAATAGTTTTACCTAATTTTGACTTTTCAATCAAACTAAACTACTCCTCATTCAAAACCAAAATTAAAGAAATTATCTTTTCAATTAAAAACATCTTTATCTATTTTTGAGTTTTTATCAATTTATTGCTGATATATTATACTTTATTGTATTATGTTTTACTATTTACGAATATTTCCATGAGTTCTTTGCAAACTTATGTATTTAATGGTTTGTATTTTATTACATTTTATTACTGTGTTTTGTTAAACTTCATATTATTTTTGTTATTTTACGAATTTTTATAACTTCATTATAATATTACGTATATATATTATACTATACTCAATACTAAAAAGCATTGTAAAGGGCTTCATGATAAGATCCTCATAATCTTCTAAAAGTCCTGCCGCTAAATTTGTAATATGTTAAAATTTGTATTATTAATAAAATTATTTAGCAAAAAAAAAAAAAAAAAAAATTGACCAAGTTATGACGTTTTAAGTTAAAATAACTTGAAATTTGATCACAGTTTCTTCAAGAACTCCATATATCAAAAATTCGGTACTCAAAATGCCATAACTTTTTGTAGAATTGTTTAATTTTGATGATTTTTTTCACCTTTAAAATACTGAATTGAAGACCTTTCCAATGATATATAACAATCTAGTGTTTGATCAATATAAAATTTCATATATATGAATATATATATATATAAATATAATATATATATATATATATATATATATATATATATATATATATATATATATATATATATATATATATATATATATATATATATATATATATATATATACATATACATATATATATATATATATATATATATATATATATATATATATATATATATATATATATATATATATATATATATATATATATATATATATATATATATATATATATATATATATATATATATATATGAACGATATTTTAATACTACTGAAAGAAAAGTTTATTTTCTTAAAAATAACTTTCCAGGAAAAAATTGGGCGACAAGTATTTTAAAATATAATAGACATGTTTTATCAAATCAATATGCAACTAATATTGCAACAGAAAGAGCAAAATCTTCATCTAATGTAATTGATAATTTCTTCGATAAACCTGAAAAAAATATGACAAATATTTTACCTGACTACATCATCCACTATGACAAACCTGAGTGATGAACCTGGAGCCAAAAAATATACATTTAATCAAGGTACTAAGTACCCAAAAAAGGTTTTAAACAGTTCTAAAACCTCAGCAAGTTTAATGTTTGCTAGAACTGCTTCCGGTACTATTTTACCCACTTATGTTGTTTATAAATCAGAACATTTGTGGGATACTTGGATGGAAGGTAGCAGCCGTGGCGCAGTGGTAGCGCACTTGCCTAAGAAACGTAAGTTCCGTGGTTCAAACCCCACCTCTGGGCAAGTTTTGCGACATCGGTTGGGAAGGAGGCGTGAACTTCCTATTAAATGCTCTTCCGCGGTGCTCTGTGATAAGACCGTAAGGACTTCTTGGGGCACCTTAATCAACTTAAAAAAAGAAGTTGGACCTGATAAAACTGTTTATAACCAAAGTAAAAGTGGATGGTTTGGTACTTTTTGCTTTGAAGATCGGTTTTTTAAAATAACTATTCCATATAAACAATACAAAGACGGAAATAAAATCGTAATTGGTGACAATTTATCTTCACATTTCTCAGAAAATGTGCTACATGCCTGTAAAGAATATGATATCATGTTCATATGTCTTCCACCTAAAACCTTTTATCTCCTGCAACCATTAGATGTTGCATTTTTTGCTCCCTTAAAGCATTATTGATCCTTACTAAGTGGAAAAAACAAGACGAAATGTTACAAAACAATATCTATAAAAAATAAATTATTTCTGGTTTCAAAAAGTGTGGCATTTATCCTTTGAATAAAGACTGTCCAAAATCAAGATTATCAGACTCAAATTTTAAAAGAAAAACAATGGAACTCAACACATCCAATATAGTATTAGGCATGCTAAAAGATATGCGACATGATAATTGCAAAAAAACTTCTACAAAAGTTCCCAGACGTAAACAATGCTATGTATCACCAGGTAAAGGAAATTGTGCCCAAGATATTGTGTTTCAAATACCTCCAGTTAGTCCAAAGAAAGTAAAAAAAATTCAAACTTTGTGTTAGAAAAAAATTTAGAAAATGCAACTGCTTCCTTTGATATTATAGGAGTGATAGCTGGTACTAGTAAAGAATTTTTTACGCCTCCAAATAAAAGTGCAAGATCATAATTCAATAGCATTTCTAAAGGTATTGTTAGAAGCTCAGAAAAGCTAAAAAATTATAAAGAAGTTAAAGTATATTGGATTGGTTGTTGTAAAAAACTGTTATTGTAAAAAATCATTTCCAAAATTCACACTCGATTGTTATCATAAAAGATGTTGAATGTAACATCTTTTGGGTCAATTTTTTTAAAGTTAACCTTTGTGGAAAAGGAATAAGATTTATTTTGCAAAATAAAGGGTACAGTGATTTTATAAAAAAAGACATGATAATTAAACAAGTTCATCTAGTTGAAACTGGGTATGGTTTTTTTATTTGTTTGATAAAGAAGATGAAGAGTTTTTTAAAAAAATAATTAAACATTTCAATTTTAGACTAAACTTCTAATATATAAGAAAACATTCTTCTTATAAACTTCTTATAGACTAAAACATCTTAATAAAGTTTCTTTATTTAAATAAACTTTGTTTTTCTTTGGTTATCTTTTTTGTTTCGTTATATTAGATGGAGTTATATGGAATATATATATAGTCATATGAGTTAAATATGGAAATATTTGTTAGAAAAATTTATAATGATAAAATTAAATATCATTCTTTTTTCAATTATATAAAGATATCGAATTTTGATGCAAAACGATTTATATAAAGATACTAAATTTTGATGCAAAACGATTTATTTCCAAATTGTCGGGGTTATTCGGAAAGGCGTTAAAAAACGACTTCACTCTTTAAATATTAAGTATAATTTGTCAAATCTTGAATAAAAGTGAAATTAAATAAAAAGCCTGAACTTAGTTCATCCAAAATAAATGCTTTTTGCAATAGTAATTAACTATAAAACAAGTGATCTAAATTTATGTTTTTATTTTTTCCCAAATAACCCTTCTTTACGGTATATAATTTATTTTGCGTAAAAAATCTTGAAAATTTAAGACGCCATTCAACCATGTAGTGTTTAAATTATATAAATCAATAAATTCGTGAGCTTTTTCAGAAAAAGGTATAAACGTTAACAACAGAAGCAATTACAGTGGAATGTAAACAATATAGTTATATCCATTTTTCTATTAATTTGAATTTTCATGCTATATTTTTCTATGCAATGTTATATCCGAAAATATTGTTGGTTAGCATAGGAATAACCACAAATAGTCGTTAAGACTAATATATATATATATATATATATATATATATATATATATATATATATATATATATATATATATATATATATATATATATATATATATATATATATATATATATATATATATATATATATATATATATATATATATATATATATATATATATATATATAGAACGTTTTTTGAACGACCCAAAGACATTTGTAATGCAATGATGTTTTAGCAATCACAGAGTTTGTAGGGTTTCGGAGACAGAAGTTTAACGTTAAAAAAACATAACAGAAACGTCAACCCGTGTGCCTTGTTATTTACAGGGTTATTCATTCTTATATGCGCGTTTATTCATTTTTATATGCGCCTTTATTCATTCTTATATGCGCCTTTATTCATTTTTATATGCGCCTTTATTCATTCTTATATGCGCATTTATTCATTTTTATATGCGCCTTTATTCATTCTTATATGCGCATTTATTCATTTTTATATGCGCCTGTATTCATTTTTATATGCGCATTTATTCATTTTTATATGCGCCTTTATTCATTTTTATATGCGCCTTTATTCATTCTTATATGCGTTTTACAAAAGCAATTGTAAAAAAGCAATTTGAACAAAAAAAAATCATTCAAGCAATTTGTTTTGAAAAAATAGTTTATTTTTTCAAAACAAACTTATCTTATTTCCAGGTAAACGAGGTTAAAAATACTTAAAACGAAGACTTTTTAAATTCGACGATGGTTTATTTAATTTAGTATTAGTTCTTTGTAATTTTATTATTAATTTTCTTGATTGATTAAGTTATTATTTATCTAATTATTCATTTATCTCGATTTAAATTTACTTATTTATAATTATTATTAATATCAAATTATACATCCCTATGTTTGTATATGCGTTAACCACCCATAAAATTTCTAATATAATTTAATATAAACGATAAATACGCTTTTAAATTTTTGTATAGACATATTTAAAATATAAATTAGGTTGTTTTCATTGTTATTTATTTAAGAAATGGTTGCCGAGCCAGCGCTTGATTTATATAACTACGCATATGGTTGTAAAATGGAACTATATTAAACTCTGTAGTATCCATAATATTTTTAAGTTTCCTGATTACCTCATCCGTATTTCGAGGCCTTTCTCCCTGTTTGTAAGTATGTTTTAAAGAAGAGAAAAATTCTTCTATTGGATTAAGCTGTGGCGTGTAAGCTGGCAGATACTTAATAGCTATACCATGAGAGGCTAGTGTTTGCCTAACAGAAAGACTCCAGTGGAATTTTCAATTGTCCATAACAAGCACCGGCGCTTCCACATTTGCATTCCTAATCGCTGGTGCCATCATTGTAGTTATGAAAGTACAAAATGAATCTGCATTCCAGCCTCCAGTTTTTGTTTCATAAGCAAGCACTCCCATTGTTGAAACAGCACAAATTAAACTAACATTCTTGCCACGATTTGCAGGCGACTGTAAAATTGCTGGCGCACCTCTTAGCGAATAACCATATGTGCTGTTAGTGTGCACATTAAATCCAGTTTCATCCAAATAAATAAGTTTTTCATCTGAAATTCCGTTAATTTCGCTTGCAAATGCATAGCGTGCATTAATAATTCGTGTTGAATTTCGTTCTTCTGGCACATGCACAACACGTTTTCTTGATAAATCCGAGCGTTTGAGTTTTCTTGAAATAGTAGGCTGAGACATGTTGAAGCCTGCTGCAGAAAGATTTTCTTTTATTGTTTCTTGCGTGCAAAGATTGTTTTCTTGTAGGGGAGAGTGGGGTATTGGCGAACAGTTAAGCGGGAAAGCGAATTAAAGACAACTATTACTATATATTGATGATATTTATAGCTTATCAGTTAGTCTAACCATTCGGTTAGAAGCACTCAAAAGCAATTTTCATATATCTTATTATAAAATAAAAAATTCGGTCAAAAACAAAACCTTTGGTGTTCGGAATTACCCTACGCACGTGGGGTAATTCCGAACATACCGTGGGGTAATCACAAACACTGTTGGGTAATAGCGAATAAAATGTTGATCAAAGCAAATCAAACTTAATTGAAGGGTTGAAATATTATTGAATCAAATTTTAAACAAATCAAACGTTAAAGAATCAAGTATCAATAAACGTTATTCAATGTAAATAAAATGTTACATTAACAAAATTTAAAAAATCAATAAATGTTATTCATAGCAAAAATCACAGAGAAAACCTCTTGATGTACTTGCACAACTTGTGCACTTCTCGTGGTACCAAGACTTACATTTATAACACTTTATCCAGTCTTCCGTGGGTGGATCATGATACTTTTCTTCACAAATTAAACAATAACAATCATTTTTTTTATCATCTCTCGTTATTTTTTTCTTCTTTGGTACATCATTAGCCTCAAAGTTATTAAAGTTGCTCCCTCCCTTCTTTTTTTTACCAGCAGTCTGTTTTACTTCTTGTTCCTTCATACTTTTCTTTTGCTGCTTGTCCTCTAAAAAATCTTTCATTGGAGAACTAGTGATAATAGTAGAATGTTTTTTTCTTAGACTTCCTCTGGTTTTTCTTTTTGTCAAATTAGGTACAGAGACAATATTTAAAAGAGATATTGACTGATTTGATCTATTTAGTACCAGTTCAGGGGCTATATTCACATCAGGTGACAGACCTACACTAGAAGAATTCAATGATAGGTTAACTAACACTTCAGATGATTTGGCTTGAGTATCTGAACTCTGAACTGATTCTGAACTCTGAATGTTATCAAGTAATGACGTTTCATGTGTAACGATACTGATTGGAAAAAAATCATTAAATTTTGTGGGATCTAACGGATAAATACCAGCTGCTCGAAATCCATTGGCTGCTTTTTCAATATTGCTGAGACGATTAAAAGGTTTTGTAAATAGTTCAACAACTTCATATTGAGTAATTCTTCGGCCTATGTTTGCTGCCATAAAAATGTCACATTCCCTGTTGTATGCAGATTTGAGTGGACCAAAGTATGTTAAATCTAATGGTTGCATTCTATGGGAAGTGTGTGGTGGAAGGGATAACAATACAATTCCATTTCCACGACAGAGTAGATAGCAATCAAGGCTAATATGGTTCTCATGGTTATCTAGGATTAATAACACAGGTTCGTCTTTGGTTGGTTTAGCAAATGAGATAAAGTGATTAAGCCAGTCCACAAATAAATTTTCATTGATCCAACCTGAGTCACTGACCGTAGCAAGCATATCAGCATTGCCTCCCCGCAACAACTGATTATTCATGAGTTTTCTTTTAAATACAAAAAATGGAGGAATATACTTTCCTGAAGCACTGAATGCACAAACAACTGTAGTTGTTGAACCTCTTTCCGCACTGGTTGCCATCCCAACTTGTTTCTGGCCCTTAAGGGCTAAGATTTTGGAATTTCGTTGAACATTAGAAATACCGGTCTCATCAACATTATATATATGATTAGGGTCAAAGTGATAAGTTTTTTGTAAAGTTTCCAGATTTTCAAAAAACATTTTTACTTCTGTTGCATTAAATCCATTTATTCTGTTTAATGAAGTGGGCTCAGGTTTTCTCAATGAAATATTTGAATGTCTTTTTATGAAAGAATAATACCAGTCTTTACCTGCCAATTGGGTTTTCCTATTAAATTTATGGGTCAACTTATTTCGTTCAGCAAATTTGAAAGCAATTTTTCGCACCATTTCAATTGTTAACCCATAAAAAACCTGGCTACATTTGACAATATATTCTTTTAACTCTTTTTCTTGTGCATCTGAGAATATACATTTTCTTCCACCTCTTGGTTGTGTTATGAATTCTTTCTTGCAATAGTCAAATAATGTGGTTTTAGGCACCAAATAAGCTAAAGAGGCTTGACTTAATGAAAAAGTTTTATTTTTCACGTCTTTTATGGCCTTTTTTAAATCCTCTAGCCTATATTTTATTTCAGTTTTTCTATTATAGTTTCGTGGCATCTAAAATAAAAAAGAAATTAAAATAACATACATTTATGTGTACTACTGATATCTAGCATTGGTCCGATACAATTTAAAACAAATCCACTAAACATGTTGAGAAGCTTTTTAGTTTTTTTTGGCTTTATTTACATAATTAAAATGCATATATATATATATATATATATATATATATATATATATATATATATATATATATATATATATATATATATATATATATATATATATATATATGTATGTATAAATATAATATATATATATATATATATATATTTATATATATATATAAATATATATATATATATATATATATATATATAATATATATATATATATATATATATATATATATATATATATATATATATATATATAAATGTATATATATATATAATATATATATATATATATATTTTATATATATATATATATATATATATATATATATATACATATATATATATATATATATATATATATATATATATATATATATATATATATATATATATATATATAATATATATATATATAAATGTATATATATATATAATATATATATATATATATATTATATATATATATATATATTATATATATATATATATATATATATATATATATATATATATATACATATATATATATACATAATACATATAATTTATATGTATATATATATATATATATAATACATATAATTTATATGTATATGTATATATATAAATGCATATATATATATATATATATATATATATATATTTTTTATATATATATACCCGCCTGAAAAAAACTTTAGGGTCCCTTACGGGTTTGCCCTTAAGTTATACTTACGAAAATGTCCGCGCCGAATTGAAGGGTCCCTTAAGGGCTAGCCCGAAAGCGACCAAAAAAAAAACCACGCGATACTACTCAGAAAATGAGTAGCAAAGCGTGGTTGGTTTCTAAGTGATTTTTTTTTAAATTCAAATATTCAAAACTATAAAATATAATTTATATACTATTTCTTGTTAAGTATTACATTTTCTCATATACATTTTATTTAGATTTTTATTATACATTTTGTTTAGATTTTGAGATTTTTTTTATATATTTATATATTACTACGGATATTAGTTATTTGAAAAAGTCTTTCGCCTTTTTTGTCGGAAATCGTTATCGTCTTCGTTGTCCTCTTCACTTCTCACTTCACTGTCATTATCTTTTTCTTCCTCAATCGAAACTTCTGCCTTTTTCTTAAATCGCAGCAGACGACCGCCAGAGCGATCTCTGGCGTTATTGAAAAATCGTGCTACCTTTAACTCAATTTCTTTTGCCGTTATGCCAGGGAAAAAGTGAACAGTTGAAACTATAAATCCATTAAATGAAAATAATAAATTAATTATTACTACTTATTTAAATCTATGATTATAATTAAGTAGTAATTATTTTAACACTTTTATATTAACACGATATTATAACACTAGATTATACTTAAATATATGAATTCACACGTACAATAGACTGTTATATATGATCAATATAAATATATTTTAAATATAAAATTCATTTTATTGTCTTAGTTCACATTAGATCTGAATTAAACTCACTTTTGAGCAGATTCTCCAGATGATCAAAAAACTTAAGTTTGCCATGAGTTCCAGGCCTGTTAATAACTTCCTGCAGGCCATGTGATAGCAACTTGTTCAGTACCCTCGAAATATGGTCATGGGCAGTCACTCCTCCTTCAAGCTTCATCCATGACAACTAACAAATATATAGGACATCCATGACAAATTAAAAAAAACTATTATCATATTATTCAATTTCTATTATAATTAGATTCCTTCCCAAAACAAACCAAAACTAATCAGAAATTAATTAAAATTTACCATATTCTTTGGGTGCTTTTCAACGTCAGAATACTGCAGCCGAGAAGTAAAAATTGGAAATTGAATTTGACATATCTGATCAACCGGATCACTAACAACACGAGCTTCCAATCTTGCTTGTCTCTGCTCAATATTGGTTAACTTTAACTGTATTGAACTCAGTTCACGAAGGACGTATGCATTCATAAGAAAATGACCTGTTATAATAACCACAAAAAGATCACATAGTTTGCCATATATATTATTCCTTATTTGTATATAAAATACACTGTAAAAGATGTAAAATATAAAAAAATGTATGTGTAATAAAGATAATGCGCTTTACACAATAAAAATAAATATTTTGCAACATACGATTGCCTGACTATCTGAATTGCTTGAAACCTATAAGAAATTAAAATAACATTAAAAGATACAAATTTATTATGCACAAAATATTTAAGTAGATAATTTTATAAATTTACAGTTGCCTGTATATACGCAGGTGGTTGTAAACTAGGCACCTTTAAAAAACAATGAAACACAAAATAGAAAAATCTCTTATTTTGATAAACAGCAAATTTTACTTTAAAGAATGTCTACTAGAATAAAGCACAACTTATACTACACATAGGATACTACTATATTACTTATTGGACAATATTAAATATATCTACTTTACCTGTAAGTTTTAAACAAGAAGAAAAAAAAGATAACATACATTTAGTTGAAAACTTGAATTAGTTGAAGAGAACTGAAACAAAAAAATAATTTCAAATTAAATAAAGCTGTGTAAGCTGTAGGAATCATCCGAAAAATTATAGCAGAACTATGTTAATAAAACTACATTACATACATTCAGTGATGCTTGAATATTGTTTTCATTTGAACTCTAAAAATGTAGAAAATTGCAACAATTGCTAAAAAAAAAACTTAAATTAAACATATAACATAATCAATAATTACTGTTTGTTTAAAATGAAAATTAAAAGGTTTCAGTGGTGGCAGAGGCTTTAGGGCAACTGATTTACAGACACTTTCCTGGTTATGTGTGGCCTAAATTAACAATATATTTTATGAATAAATTAGGAAAAAAGTCTGTCTTAACTATTGCATTAAATAAAACTTTACCACTGACTCAGAACAAAAATCTGTATCCAAATTTGAATCTTCAGAGGCTGTGTGAAGAGGCTAAACAAAAACAAAAATTAAAATAAATTCTTTAAAAATTAAAAGAAATTAAAATAAAATAACTAATCCTAACAAGATAAAAACAAGGTTTGTATTTAATATTTACATAAACAGGAGGCAGTCGTTGTCTGTTTAAACCACGGACAGGGTTGAAATATGTTTGAATGAAATTTATTGTTTGTTTTTTTCGTTTCATTTCAGAAACAAACTTTAAAGTTTCCTTGAGGGCATCATAATTTGCCCCACACTGCAAAACTAAAACCTAATCAAACATATTATATTATATATTAAGCATGTATTCTTATTATTATTAAACAATATTAGCAAACTACGATTCATATTTACCTTTATCATACTATCATCATTTTTAACCCTTAATTCAACTCTTCTACAAATTTTGAGTTTTTCAAATTCATCTGAATTCCATCCAACAACATCGTCAACATGAACAATTGCTATTGATTTATCAGTTAAACAATAAATTAGGACATATTTTTGACTGGTGTACTCCATCAAATATGATATGTTAATTCAGTGTTAGAATCTGTCTCTATATTTTTTTGAATATAAGTAAATTAAAAATCTTATTGCAATATAAGTATTTAAACAAATAAGTAAAAATATTTTTTATTCAAATATTATACACAAATGCTAAAACATTTTTATCATTATTAATGTTAAAACATTTTTTTCATTCATTTAAACTGATTTTAATAGTAAAAAATTAATTAAAAATAATAAAAAAAGAAAAAAATCAAATCATTTTATTTTATGTATGTTGTATTTCATATATGTAACCAATGTAAAAAAAATTTACAATAACATAAAAACAAAAGAATTAATACTAAAATAAAAATAAAATGATGGACTCATTACACAATCATTGAGTGTCAACTCTTGAAAACATTCGCAAATGGTATAACAGTGTACTCGTTGCCATCAGGAAAAGAAATACATTTATTAATGATCTTTGCATCAGTTACAACGATATTAGACATAATATATCTACCTATACCAATTGAACTAGATGGATAGGGATGATCATACAAATCTGATTTAAATATTAACAAGGATCCAGAAGCAACATAAGTGTCACTAACAGAAGTTATAATAATTGGAACGATATTTGAATTATAAACAACGAGAGCAGTATTATTGGGATATTTATTGGAGAAAACTAAATCTTTTTGTGGTTGATTGGAATATAAACTTCTAATAGTTAAAACAGAGTTAATAGACTGTTCAAACACATAAGTTCCAGTTTTTACACGTTGCTTTATTAGATACAAATAATTTTCAAAAGGAAAAGCAGAAAACTTATCTAATGGTCCTAGTTCTTGCACAAATTCTGGTAGATGTGAAAGCATATGTGCATTGAAGGTATAAGCACTTTCAGTAAAAAGTTCTTTCAAATTATGGAGAAAATGTTGTATGCAAGAAGTAGCATTGTCATAATAGTGTGTGTGTGATGTTCCAATAAACACATACATAGCGAAATGCAGATACAAAAAATGATTATAGTATTTTAAAGGAATGATACCTTTAAAAAGAAGAGGACCTGTATAAAGTAAAATTGTTCGAAACTCGGTAGCTTTAAAATAATGCATGTTACGAAAAGATCTTATTTTCCGATGAAATTCACATGGTAAAGCGCTATGCCACAATTTAACTCTTTCTTCTAAGAGTTCTTTCAGATTTTCACTTACCCAACAGTTTAATCTGCCATATTTATTTGAAAAATATGAGACTACAAGTCTTCTCATAACACCTAGACAAACTGTATGCATATATTCAGGTGGAAAATCACAATTTAAATTTGCAACTTCTGTAAGCGGAGATAAAAATAATTGGTTTGATTCAGATAACGATTTGTAATCACAGTCAGTACGAGAAGGATATATACCACCATATGGAAAAATGACTTTATTAGTAGCATACACACCTGGAATTCTGCAGTATGGACAAGCATTATATCCAGAGTGACCTTTTACACATTGACAATAAGATCTTGCTGGCGCATCGCATATAAATAAAACATTAGTTATTTTAATAAAAAAGCCAGATACATTAACATAAGATTTAAAAAGAACTAACTCTTCATGCAATTTCTCAATAAACCCAGAAAAATTAGGCTTGCTTAACCCAGCATAAACAGCAATGGGAAAAGGTTTATTAAAACCTACATTTCTCATAATGAATAATATTGGCCAGATATGTACAGGTGAGCTTTTGAATATTGGTATACCATCAATTCCAACTTTAATTTTAAGATTTACATATTGCGTCTTGAATGTTACTAGACTATTTTTAATGCAGTAAGATAAATTTTCAAAAATTGACAAGTAACCAAAGTTTCCACCGCAGCTTAGAGAATTCTTTAGGACCTGGACCTTCGTAGCCACTTGAGGTTTTTTGAAAAGATATACAGAAATAGGAACATCAACACCTTCCTCATTTAAAATCGTAAGCAAACAGAGTATTGCACTTTTGCTGAGTTTATACAGTAAACAGAAGTATAACAACTTTGTATGAAGGGATGAGAAATCGCCCTTGGATTTCTTGTTACTTTCATCGTTGTCTTCCAATGGCACTTCGCCTGAAAAAATATATTGAATTATGAATTTAGGCTCATTCTAATGACTAATTAAACTTGATAGAAACACTAATTTTAATTATAAAAACATAAATTTAATTGTATGTGTGTGTTTAGTTGGTCATTTTTAAATAAGGACAAACTTAAACAAAGTTTGCATAATTTGTGAGAACGCTACATTGTCACAAATTATGCAAACTAAAATAACTTTATACAAAGTTTACAAAATGTTACCCTAACTGAGTTACACAGAAGTAATATACTCTCAGTAAGTGTAACATTTTGTAAACTTTGAATAAAAAATGCTTTCAATTTGATAAATTTATAATAATAAATAAAATATTTATCTACTTTCATAGCTTGTATCCTCAACTAAATCAAATTTTCCCATCACATCATCAAAAAAAGTAGAAGCACTTTCATCAAAGTAATCTTCGTTAATTGTTAATTTTTGCTCTTCTGCATCTGCTTCAAACTGTGTCGAATAGTTGACAGTTTCATCTATAACAATTATTTTTAAAAAAATATGTATTAAATCGAAAAAATTATAAACTTAATATTTTAAAATTTAACATAGAATATATGTGGCAGACAAATAGTACACAAGAATAACAGTCTGCAAATAGTATGAGATTGAAAAAACAATATACTATAAATATTTAAAAAAATTTTCTTTACATAGATTATCAAGATGAAACATTATAATGTTTATAGTATTAATCTATAGATTCCTATATATATAAATATTATATATATATATATATATATATATATATATATATATATATATATATATATATATATATATATATATATATATATATATATATATATATATATATATATATATATATATATATATTATATTTATATATATATATTATATTTATATATATAGCCTATATATTAGATCTATCTATCTATCTATATTAGATACTATCTATCTATCTATCTATATTATCTATCTATATCTATCTATCTATATTAGATACCTAATATATAATATAATATAATATATATATATATATATATATATATATATATATATATATATATATATATATATATATATATATTATATTACCTTTTAATCTCGATATGAAAGTTTCCATTTTATTACTACGTTTCCTTCTTTCATTTCTCGAAGCCATTTTTTTTTAAGAACTGTAAGTATAAAATATTTTGTCGTTATTATAATTTAAGACAATCATTAGGATTGTTTTAACTAAATAATGAAACTAATAATAATGAAATTTTAATCATATTATACAGCGAATTATGACAATAAACTTAAGTTTACAAACTTAATTCTAAAAGACCAAATTTAATTCCGAACTACTTTAACCACGCTTTAAGAATAGCGGATTTATAAAATCATTCCGTTAACTCTTTTTATTTCAGAATTTCCAGAAAATTCTATTTGACTTAGGGCTAGCCCTGAATTTGCCCTAACCGATCCCTTATTAGAATTAGCCCTAAACACACCCTAATGTTCAAGAATTAATAACTATATACTATAATAAAGTAAACAAGAGTATTTTTGCATTATTATTTATTATTTTTTTTTTTTATGTCTAAAAAACTTAGCCCTTAAGTTACCCTTAACCGTTAAGGGACCCTTAAGGGTCCCTTAAGCTATTTTCAGGCGGGTATATATGTATAAATATAATATATATATATATATATTTATATATATATATATTAATATATATATATATATATATATATATATATATATATATATATATATATATATATATATATATATATATAATATGTATATATATATATATATGAATGTATATATATATATATAAAATATATATATAAATATTATATATATATATATATATATATATTTATATATATATATTAATATATATATATATATATATATATATATATATATATATATATATATATATATATAATATGTATATATATATATATATGAATGTATATATATATATATATATAAAATATATATATAAATATTATATATATATATATATATATATATATTCATATATATATATATATATATATATATATATATATATATATATATATATATATATATATATATATATACATATATATATATATATATAATACATATAATTTATATGTATATGTATATATATATATATATATATATATATATATATATATATATATATATATATATATATATATATATATATACATATATATATATATATATATATATATATATATATATATATATATATATATATATATATGTATATATATATATATATATATATATATATATATATATATATATATATATATATATATATATATATATATATAAAATATATATATATATATATTTGAACCAAGTAAATATATATATATATATATATATATTTACTTGGTTCAAAATCGAATTTTTAACATTGATATAGGAAACGTCCGTGTGTTATCAGATACGCTAGAATACTTTGAGAAAATAATAAGCGTTCGTGATTACCCTACTAAGATCGTTCGTTATTTCCCCGCGACCCAAACAAATGAAATTAAAGGAATATATTGGAGGAGTATTAACATACCCTAAATATTAAAAGTGTAAAAAACTTTATGATTATGATACTTTGCAACAACATAAAAAAATTTGCGGTTTTATATACATAGTATATCCAATACATAAATGTGTCGCAAGTAAAAATTACATGAAACTAAGAGAAAAACTTAGAATCAATCTATCGTGAGCAACTTGCGCATCTATACTACACTATTGCACGTCTGGAACTGAGCATGTAACCGACTCTCACCAGAAAAAAAAAGTTAGTCAACTATCCTTTCCTAACACGCCGTAACGGCCTTGTTCGGAGTTACCCCGCGTTCGCCATTACCCGACTCTCCCCTACGCATAATTCGATATTTTTTATTTGAGCGTTTATAGGTCTTTCACCTCGTTTTTTATCAGAAGACGACTTGAATGCAGTCATGTCGTCGAATTCTCCTCTGTTTAACTTAACGACAAGATTTTGAACTGTGCGCTTTGATAAATTAAGAGAAGTGGAAATGCTTGTTGCAGATTGATTTCTTTCAACTAAATGTTTAAGCATTTCAATGTGCTCTTTTGTAACATTTTTCCTTGTTTAACGATTATTTTCTATTCCATCCATAGGGTAAAAATTTGATATTAATAATTTTAAATAATTAAATAATAAATCTAGAAAAATAAATAATTAGATAAAAAATAACTTAATCAATCAAGAAATTTAATACAATAATACAATTTAATATAATGTAATAAAATTGAACTAAAAACTAATACTAAGTTAAGTAAACCATTATCGAATGTAAAAAGTCTTCGTCTTATAAGTATTTTTAAACTCGTTTACCAGGAAATAAGAAAAATTTGCTTTGAAATAATAAACTGTTTTATCAATGATTTTATTCAATGATTTTTTTTTGTTTAAATTGCTTTTTTACAATTGCTTTTGTAAACCACATAAAAATGAATAAATGCGCATATAAGAATGAATAAATGCGCATATAAGAATGAATAAAGGCGCATATAAAAATGAATAGACGCGCATATAAGAATGAATAACCCTGTAAAACAATTAAAACATCGTGGTTTTGTTTTTTAAGGTCACCGACGCCTTTTTCTATCTGGCGCTCTTTTCAGTATATCTTCAACGTTCATTCTGGGCATACTTGGACATGATTTCTGCGAAATACAAAATAAAATATATATAAGATTTTTAGAAATACAAATAGAATGTAAAATATGCTGTTGCAAACTGAAAAGCAAACTGAATTATTTTTATTATGTTATAAATATATATTAACAAAAAAAGAAGACAATTTATTACTATGCAGAGTACAATAGTTTGATTCTAACCGTGGAAGTAATAAACCAATTAATTTAATAGTCAGATTTTTAAAATTGAAAAAAACACAACCTTATCATTTAAAGATCATATTTAAGGATCTGCTAAACTTTGAGTTTTTGTCACATTCTATATTAGTATGATGATTTTTTTACAACCTTGTTTCCCTTGAAAAGCTTTCATTAAAGATTAGATAAAATCTTACTTTCAAGATGTATTGATCAAAAAAATATCATGCACAAAATGATTTAAAAGTTTTTATTTATTAACTTTTTTGCCTAATTTTTGAGGCCCCTTTAAGTAGTAACAAAATTAAACACAAGCTTCAGAGTCACATATATGCAACATTTTATTGGGTCATCAAACATATAATACATAATAATAAAAATAAATATAAGCACATAAACATAAACTCAATTATTTAAACTAATGTGATTGAACAGGATGAATTTTAGTGGTAGGTTTTCCTTGTTCCATGAGGAGTCATACAGGTCTTTCAAAAATTTGATCGCACACTCAAAACTCTGGTTGCTTCCGGCGATGTAAATTGGAGATTCGCACGTTTTCCAGTGGTTTTTCTGGAATTGAGACATTTTGGATAGTCGTTTAGTACTGCAGATAGCTCATCGAAATCTTCAGCACGGAACAATTGACTGCTAAGCCAATGGTCGGTCCATGAGTAGGAAATGAATGAACAGATTTTACGCAGCCTCCCAGTAAGCACAGGACGTTTTTAAAACGTTTTAATTCCGTTCAATTTACGGTCGGACGTTAAAAGAACCAATACAATCGTTTTTAAAACGTTTTTTTGCAAACGTTTTTTTTAATGTTAATTTAAACGTTTTTTTAGCGTTTTTTAAACGTTTTATTTTTTTTATTAACTTACGGTTAGCTTATGAACGTTTTTAAAACGTTTTTTTTAACGTGATAAAAAAACTTTTTTTAAACGTAATATTTAAACGGCAATATTTAAAAGAGTATGTTTACGCAAATAATGGCGTGACCTTCGATTAGGCGAATTGATTTATTTAAGTAAAAATATATAAATTAGTATATATTTAAATCAACCAAGTGTTTGTATTGTTTTTTTGTAGAATTAAATTTGAAAATATATTGGAGTATTTTTAGTTTAAAGTTGTATGCCTTCGTTGAAACTTGGTTGTGTTTGTATTTCTACTTGAATCAAGTAGATATGGTTAATAAAGTTTTAATGGTGTGGTTAGCTAGATTATTTTACTCTAATAAGTAACTTAATTGTTGAGTAAACTTGAATGCTTAAAAAAACTAGATTAAGTTTTTAATTCTACTTAATCATCAACTGCTTTTAACGCAAAAAAATCTATTTGGATTTGAAAAAAGGGAACAACATTCTCAGACTTTTTCTTCTTTAACTCTAAAAATTAAAAATGATATCAGTGGTTTTTATAAAGGAATTACTATAGTTAAAAAAGGCTGAAAGGAAAAAATATAATGATTTGTTTCAAGAAAGGGAGTGACTTACTTCAAAATGTCATTTTAAAATTTTTATTCTTTAATGATATTCTGGTGTTATTACCAAATGTTTAGCAGTATGAAACCTATAATATTATATACCATACTATATACCCTATTTTACTTATAAAGTTAATAATCTGTAAAGTAATATGTAAAAATTTTTTAATTGTAAAATTGCTACATGAGAAGACAAGTTGTTAGATGAAATTCAAATATTCTCTATGTTTGTGTTGTGTAGGTCAAAAAATAATAAACAAAGATGATATTGATTGTGATGACCAAGAGATTCATTTTAAGACACATCAATCTTCATCATCTTTAAATAAAAAGGATAAACATTATGGATTTCCATTATCTCAAGCAAGTAAGTCTTTAGTTAAAAATAATAATGTAATGTTTGTTGTAAAATGCTAACATGACTGTCAATATTAAAAAATATCATTAAAATGATGAGGTCCCAATTTCAACTTTAAATAATCACCTTCATGAAATCCATAATTTCAATATTATCAAAACTATAAATCTATGGAACAATCTTTCTTGTCTAATCCGAAATCTGAGAAAAATGCTAATATATATAATATAGCATTGCCACTATTAGGTATTTTACTGTCTATTAGTTTTTCTCTGATTTAGGCTTAGACCAGTAAAGTTGTTAAATTGTTAAATTTATGTATTTTAAATTTATTTACGTAGTTTAGTTAAGACAATGTAAAATTTAATTAGTGTAAATTTGTTTAGACTTTCAATATTATGTGTTGCTTCTCTTAAATGAGATAAAAACCCAAGGATGCAAAAAACTTAATATAAAATAGTGTGAAAAAGAAGTAGTAACT